TCTCAGTTGTCCTACGAAACATGGGAAAATTGTTATTATAATTGCAAGGATTATAAGTATTATTTACCGTGACTATTATACGATTTCATAATAATGGTAATAACCAATACCATTGTCTAAATACTTTATTAAACAATGCTAATACATACCTATATGGAAATGCACCTAATATTAATTTCGCCTTGAATTGAGTACCTATGGTCAATTATTATGCTTGCTTTTAGAACCAAGGTAGGTATAGTGTTATTTTCAACACACATACAAGGGATATAACAGGTTACAGGGGTTTCTCTTCTTTCATCTAACATGTAAGGGGAGTAGGTACTTACTGCCGTCGTTAACAATTTAGAGCTCTAAAGAATAATACCCAATTAACACTAAATGAGATTTTCGTGCATAGGTAGGTATTATTAGTATTACATATAATTTCAAGCTTGCACAGAGATGCGCATTTCAAAAATGTGTATTGAAACTCACGCTACCGCTATACCAACCGAATTAATTTAAATAAAAGTGTGAAATTACGTTGAAAAGGTAGGTAGAGGTAGAAATTACTAAAGTTATGTAGGGACCTGCCCACTTTAAGAATGACACCAGAGCAATTAATAAAAAACATTAGTTTTAACATTAACATTTAATAGCGTATTAGCTATGCGTTTAAATAAATTAATGTATACAAAATATACCTTATTTACGAAGTCAATGTTGTTATAAGGATAAATCTTCATTTTTTAGACACGCATTAATATTTTAATTAACAAAACATGTTTTTTTTAACAAAAACCGGGCTACTTGGACAGCTGCTTATTCCTTAAAGCTTCACTAAAGATTGACCGACGATATGAAAACTGGTTTCAATCGAAAAAGTATCGATCACAAGAAGAGTTATACTACGTTGGTTCACAGATTAGTTACGAGATTTGAGTACATAACAAAACACAGAGTATCGCTCGTCAAGAACATACCAGTAGTTGACTTTGGTTTCGAATTCAAGTATACGGGATGCGTCAACAAATGTAGATCAAGAAAGGATTAAAGGACAAGTTCAAGACTGAAATCACTAAATAAATTTGGATATGAAAGATTCATTAAACAGGAAATAATGGCGCTTGGTATTCCATAAATGACAAAACCGCTATAAGAGTAAGATAGTTGCCACAATGTCAATGGGGAGCACGGATTCCAATTGAAAAGTTGCTTCTATAGTCTGTGGTATAGGAGTAGCCAATGGTAGCCAGATGGCGTTTTGGAGAGGACGCTGTGGTTCATAGCTACGCCAATGAGTTTCATCATGGACGGACAGACTAAAACATACAGGGTATTCCACTTCAAAAATGTTACGTTTTGGCCCCCTACTTTGTGATTACACCCCATCTAATTCAAAATAAGCTTAACTCACCTTGTAGAAATGTATCTACGCCTTTCTCGCATTGTTCAACAATACTGACTTGATGCTACAGGAGAATGATTTAAATTTCGATTGCCCTTCTACAGGGTGTTTTAAAACTAATCGTCAATTTAAATAACTTCAAACCTGAACTTTTTCAAATAAAACATGGAGAAGGTCTATCAAAATGTCGCAAGTACCTAACAAAAAAATAACGATTTAAGTCGATATTATGATACTTGCAATAATGCTTATTATGGTTGTAATGGAACGGAAGTATACTTAAATAGCATTTTCCCACCACCCGCAGCCACGGAATTTTTGGAATCGAATTTGCAGACTTGAATACCATATATCGAATTTTTTGTGATCATTTAATCATGATATCGACTGAAATCGTTATTTTATTTTTGTTATTTGCGACATGTTCTACACTAGTGTTTTACTGAATCCAAATCATAAATAAAAAACAAAACAACATCGCATTTTCCGATAATAACTATGACTTTTTTATATGGGACACCCCGTATAAGTACATTCTTACATTTTATTTATTTTTAAATCTACCAATTCAAAATGTATTGTTTTTATTGTACCTATCCCTAGCTATTAATTTGGTGGCGAATGGGGGGAGCGTACCCATCTAAATCGCAGTTCTTTTACCCGCAGTACCTTACCTATATTGAAATAATAAAAACTACAAGTTTATGTGGTGAGGTTCCATCAAATAAAAATATTGCAAATAGACTACCTACCTAAGTATAGAATTAGATTGATTTATTAGATTTTCTTCTTCAATTAAACATATTTTTTTAATGCGTCATTAGGTATTATCTATTAGGTATTTCAGTCAAGTGTTGCTCTAGCAACCTATAACCTACACATTTACAAATGTCCATGCCAGACCACGATTGCACGATGCATCAGTGACTGAACTCGAGTAGATTTTATTTGCAACAAAGTAGTTACATATTCTAATAGGTAAGTATATTACGATGATGCAAAAATTGACCATAGTGTAATAAAAGTTGTAAAGTTCATTTTGTAGCTATTATTGACACAAAATGTAATCTATTTCAGTTACCATCATGATTTAAAAATCACTCGTTCGTATAACGATTGCTCCGTTTGCTATTGCATGTTGCCACGTGGCTTAAGTTGAGGAGAAAGGTCAAGATCACTTTCATACTAAAAAAGGATAATTTTTAGTTGTATTTATTTAGATAATTTTTTTTACATATTTGAAGTTTATCCAAATTTGAAAACTTTATAAAATAATAATTGTAAAATCGCTGCCCGAACCTGGATTCGGACCAGGAATCCTTAGTACTACAGTCCAGCATCAACTCAACTGCGCCACAGGGGTAGCTAAGTGTCTGAGTGTATAGGTATGTAAAGTAAATAATGAGTATTTAGGTAATAAATGATATGATGAATTAGTGTACTGAAAAAATTTCAGAAGCTTGCTAATCTGCATTACTTTTTGTTACGAATTGTATGCAAGTTATACTCATCTGATTTTATAAAAATAAAAAAAATCGAATAAAGAGGTCTTTTTTTAAATATAGATACCTATATAATGTATGGGCAGGGTCGAATTTAGCATGGGGAAATTTTTAGAGGCGACGAAAAACCAAATTTGGGAAATAATTCTACAGTAATCGTTAAAAAATAACATAACCTCTTAAGAAATTGAAGTTGGAATGTTACGCACACTCTTACCACCTTAAAGGTAATCATGAACGAACGTTTAGGGCTTCTCCCGCAAATTTTTTTGTTGAAAATGCTTAATTAAGGTACTCTCTAGACATTTTTATTAATTTCATGATCGTACATGGGGGGCTTAAGAACGTCACATACCTATCCGTTAGATTCTCAAAAATATGGTTCGGTGGTTACGTTTACATGTTTGCGTACTTATACCTAATACCTATTGAATTTCATTCTTTAAACTGTAAAATAAACTTGAAATACGTTATTGAAATTGATGTAGGTAGGTAATTACGTAAATATATTCTTAAAAATAAAATTAGATAAAGCCCCATCACCTTCTGTTGATGTATAATAAAGCGGAAATATTAATAAAGAATGAGTAGGTTAGTAGGTAGGTATAGGTATTTCTCTAAAAATAAAAATTTATTTTGTTGTGATTCAAACAACCGATATTGTATCTACTTTGTTTTCAATTACATTTTATAAAACTCATAATTAATATAAAAAATGTGTTTACTACTTAAGTAGGTAGGTACTAAGTATCTATACCTAAATCAATCTGAGCAAATTATAGAAAGAAATTGTAAAGAGTAAATAATATTGCATATTTCTAGAAACAAATTTTGGTTGGAGTATAGGTAAATGCTATTTAATTGGTAATATGTAGATTCGGCCCTCCGGTATGGGACATATAAGTTTTGAACAAAAATGTAACAGACTTGATCAGCGAAATAACGAAAATTTAGAAAAATTTTACTATCGGTGGTTAAATATGCCTCTTACGGCAATATGAAAACAAATCTACCAAAATTGATAGATGACCATGGTCCTCAATATGACGCAATTTGCCCCATTTTCCGTTGGATAATAAGGTAGGTATAGACCTATAAAATTTTATTTTTAGGGCAAACTTTTCTCAAAACTTATGCCCCACATGTTATAAGTAGGTACCTACTACCTACTATGGTATCACCTATTTAAGCGGATGGAATTGTTTATATATTTGTATCTAGTTATATAGGTACCTATATAAGTACCTACTTATCTCAAGAAGTGGCAGTATTTCAATTTTGTTACAAAATGCTTCGTTAGAGGTATACACTACACATGAAGTCAACCATTTAATAGTCATAATTTATTAAGAACTCATTAAAGAAAATCATTTACCATGCATAAATGGTAACTTTAAAACTGTTGGCAATTTCGGCTGCTATACGTAAATGTTACGCGCAACATGTCACTTTATTTCTAGAATCGAGTGTAAAATCTGATACCTAGTCACTGGGAAATTAGGGACAAGTGCACGGATGTAGGTACAAAAAATTCCCGCCTAACTTGATCACCTGTAAAACTGTTGAGTTTTCAAAGTCCTTTAAAAATAACCCGCTTGAATTTAAGGGTCGATTTCGAGTGCCCATTTGCTTAACATTCAAGTTTAAATTTATTACGAAGAAATTAAAAGCCGCTACATACCAATATTACAATAGGAGCGCGGTAAGAAAAAAGGCATAAATTCCGATTACATCCATGTTTCATTGTGTGTTTATTTCACATGATGTACTGTAATAATATGAAGCATTAAATGTACTAGTTGTGTAGCTCCTCCTTCGCTTTTAAGGGGCCGGACAACACTTGACAGCTACTGCCGCCTGGCGTCCGCACTGGCAATGCACGTGTTTACGCTAGCCTCCCTTTAGGACAACGTATCGGCGCGTTACTCGTAATTTTACATAAACGAATTGCACATTTCAACACTGAGGTGCGAAAATAAACGGTAGATCGCGTAATAAACGCTTGAAGTTACATTGTGACGCTAAGTAAAAGTTAGGTTAGGGCGCTACGAGTCGCATTAGATGACTTGCTTGGAAATTACTTATAGGAGAAAAGTTAGATGACTTACCTACAGAGTGTTTGCACAGTTTTTTTCACTTTTCGCGACAAAAATGTACGGTAAACGAGTACATTAGACTATGACTCAGGAAGCCGTAGCGAGGCTAGCTGAGGTAGATAACCTGGTGGTCGTAAAGAAGGCGTGCGTGTCTGAAGACACGCCCACGTGTCAAATTGACCATGAGGCTGCGCTGCACTCACAGAGTGCTCCAGAGAGGTGGCTGGGAAATGTCTTCTAAACTGTGACGAGAGATGACATCGTGAGAGCTTCCGAACGTCTAGAAAAGAGAAAGAGAGAGAGAGCGTCGTGACGGTAGACGCCGGCGCTACATACAAACCTGACGAAAGCGTTGCGTTGTTCGACTGTTGTCCACGGTGCGTCGGAGTGGGGAGCACTGCCGTGTTTCTGTCAGTCACTCAGTCAACGGAGTTCGCGTTTACAAGGAGCATGTATCTGGTTCTGTCACCAAAAAAAGATCGAGTTTCGACTTCTGGGCTACAATTATTCTAATATTGTGTTGTGATGTGATTTAATAATAGTTGTTGCGTTTTGATTAAAAGCCACCCAATCGGCGAATTTCAAGGATTTTGTCTTAACATCATAATGAGCAGGGGCATTCTGAATTGCTAAACATTTTGAAGTTAATGAAAAAAAATGTTAGGTGAAGTGACAGGGTGTGAAGTTATGGTAGTGATGCAGATGTGACTTTCAATCACCATCATCCTGCGGTCGCTTCGAAAGGAACCCTTCCTGAGGACTGCAGGAACCACAATGCCACGGAGGAAGCAAGACTGTCCCAAACGCATGAAATGTATGTACTTTAACCAAATTACCTCCCCACACAACAAACACTCCAAATTTGCCTCTGACACGATTTTCCCCGTACGCTTTGAAAGCCGCAAGTAAATGTCAGCAACGGGCGTCATTTTGCCCGATTTTTCGAATTTACGACATGCTTGGACCGCGTGGCGCGGGTCGATAGTGGCTGTGGTGTGAGTGCGTGAGTACAACCGAGCAACGCATGCACCATTCATTCTACACACCATTCATCGTCCCGTTTCGGCAACCAGAACTTAGAACATCGTTAGATGTTTGTGCAACCCGCAAAATTAATCAGACTAAAGAAAATTATAGGTAGGAACAAAATTATAGCATACAAGATAGCAATTACGCGCGTTTAAATTATTCCCCTAAGCATATACGTAATTAACAGTTAATTTGGATCAAACGCAGTGGCGAAAACACGAAATCTAACAAGTTTATTAAAAGCGTGTCATTTCTTTAAAAACATCACGAACCTTTTGATTGTTTCGTTTGTCGTAGTAATTTCCGAAAATCTCATTTCGAATTCTGGCACCTGTAACAGTCTTTGTGTAGAGAGCTTCCGGACTGCATCTCGTGTCTTCATTGGTTTTTAAGTTAAAAAGCATGTAATTTCCGTAAATATCGTAATTAACCTCAGCCCAAGGTTGCTCCACAACGATCAGTGGAAAACACGAAAACGTTATCAGCAACGTGATTCAGAATAATTGTCATGATTTTGAAAGCTTAGTTGAGTTCTTGTTATTGCACGCTGATTAAAAGTATTCGAAGTGTAAAAATACACACTGCGATTTTTTTTCATATACCCAAGTACCTACTAATAGCATCACACTTGTAGTTAATCCAAGTTTGTCCATATCTACCTTGTAGAGAGCCTTGAACGTTTTTGACACCTGAACCTCTTACAACGCTATTGAGGGCTCTTCGTGTTTAGTCGCCTAAAAATTATATTCATCAAAATAAATAGGTCGTTTCTTAAAAAGAACGGAAAGAATTTCTTCATTTTAGTTCTAAATCCATTAATTATTGTACCTGCTTATCTATAGGTGCGTGTAAAAATTTACAAAAATTACTTATTTTGTGGACGTTTGCTTAAATCGTTTGTTGAAACTATAATCTAAACTAAATTCTCGATCGAGGTATGCACAACAAGCTAACCAATTTCAAAAAAATAGAATTTTTATAAATTTCAGTTTAAGTAGATATTGTGTTGTTTGGTGTCATTAACATAAATCGAAATCGTTCATCGACACTAATTCAATACCTAGTACCGCTCTTAAAAGGTACACTACAAGATACAAATTATATAAAATTGTGGTGTTTACAAGAAGATGTGGGAACTCCGGGGTGTAACAAAATATTACAATTTCTAAGAAAACGATATCTTAATCATATCATAGGCTAAAAACATTTTTATTCGTCATTATTACCTAATCTCGAGATTAATCTCAAAACGAAAATGAAATTAAAGTATAAATTACTGATATTTAGTGGTGTTGCCTAAATTTGACCGACATCGTATCTAAAATTAACAAAAATGATGTATGCGCTGAGCACGTAGGGATATCCTGTATGACTATAAGCAACATATTATCCCCAAATCAAAGTAATTTTTAACTATCAAGAGATGTTTGTCCTTATGCCAACAAACATTCAAGTTTTCAATTAAAATTGCCATTTCGGAATGACAGTGGCACGAGGGCAGAAATAAATTTCATAGCTAGTTTGTAAATAGAATTCTTTAGCCAAACAACAGGATTTTTAAACAAAATCTACTAAATTGTGTAAAGTGTTGCTTAGGTAGATAGATTTAGTTAGTAGTTGTGTCATACCCTCGGTCATACCATACCATATACCCTCTTCACTAGCTTTGCTCCTTGCATATCCCCGTGTCAAAGAAGTTCTCTACCTATTTCGATTGCAATCTTTGTTGCAACCCATACCTACCTGCAGAAAGCGAGACAGAAAGTTAACAGGAGTAGGCGCTGTGTAAATAATTGTATATATATAGGTATTGTTATCAGTCTTCATCCCTCGTTTCAGCCATGTTTATTGATTTCTAAACTCTTTTCTAAAAGCATTTCAGTAAACTGTTTGTGAAACATGTAAAATAAACAAGTGAATAATAAATAAACAATAATGAAACTTAACTTAAAAATGAAATGTGCAAACCCATAAGTATAAGAAACAAGTGCGCAGCTTTAATTGTCAAAATCACAAAAAAAAACGTCGCTGGCATCTTGATTTTTGCTCGGATTTTTGTCGGGGCTTTTTATATATCGTTAAGCGCCGTATAGGTATGTAGGTAACACCTACCTATAATATAAGGAAAATTTCCATTTTAATTGTTAAAATCCATATCTTGATTTCGGGTTTACCTATGGTCTTCTCCAATCTGTAAATATAGAGCGAGATATAGAGTTTCTTGGGTGTTCAGTTTTAAATGAAAGTCGTGAAGTTTACTTTGGATTTCTCATTTTTTCCCCTGGTATTATAAAAGCGCTGCTTGAATTAAATGCAGAACAAATGCAAAAATCTATGCTATGTATGTGTCTACAACAAAATCCTAACGCTGTGAACCACTTTTTAAAAGTATTTTCTATGAAAAATGAAGCAAATTATACACCTACAGCGTGTCTGCAGATGCGGAGACCCAATACGGAAAAAAATTATTCACTTTACGACAGAAAGCCATTCTCAATAAAAAGTTCTGCTTGTTGAGAAAACGAATTGACGATGAGAAAATTTTAGATCGCGTGTACAGGGTGTTCATAAATTAGGAAAGTATGAAAATGCTTCGAGAGTACCATTATTTATTTATCTTTTACAAAAATTGTACTTATAAAACAAAGTTGTTTATAGGTAAACTAATGTAAAGTCTGAATACAAATTATGAAATAAAAATTCGAATTTTTAAAAATAAAGTATTAACTGGTTTTTATTTAGGTACATACATATTAGATACAGTGGCTCACCAGATTTTGCACCTCGGACGACACTTGCATAGGTGTCAGATGGGTTGTGTGCTATTATTATGTGGTAATACAAAAATGACAATGCAGAGACGTTTTTATTACTGTTCCTCCTTTGCCATTTGTTTGCACTGTAAGAAAGAGAAGTGGTAATATAGTATTTATAGAACAATAATAAAATATAATACATTTCAGTTCAGTTCAGTTCGATATACAATAATGATCAGTTCATCTGCCGTGTGCAGGAAAAGAAAAATTAACAGAAGAGGAGTATATTTTTAGTTCGCCCGTTCTCAAACTTGGCTAACATCTCTGTAAAGGTGAATAAAAATTATTGAGACACGTTTATCTTTTATATGATTTTTTATGGTTATGAAATTGTGAAAGTCTCTGTTAATATCAGATTGAGGTACAAAAAATGTAGGAGCAAGCGGAACAACTTGCAGATGAAGAATACAAAAGAAAAAAAAAGAAGGAAAGAATGGACAAAAAGAAAAAAAATCTTCCCTAGAAGGAAGTTCAGAATGTGACAATGGGTAGCTCCTGAGTCAGGTGCCAGATGATATTAATTTGATATTAATGCTTATACGAGAATATAACAAACAAACGAAGTCAACGTTACCAAAGGTTAATGTATGGAGTGGAGTTTTTTTATGATCGGATCATTGGCCCATATTTTATAGAGGGAAATTTAAGCGAGCACGTGTATTTGAACATTTTGGAATATTTTGTCTGACCATTTCTTAAGATGTTAGAGCGAGAAGTACGTAATAATTTGTTTTGGCAACAAGAAGGCTGCCCTGATGCTCACTGCACATCATCAGCCTTGGTCAGACAATGCTTACCTACATGATCATTTTGGCGCAAGATGGATAGGGAGGTTTGGCCCAAACCAACAACCAGCTAGGTCGCCTGTCCTTTTATTTATTAGATTTTGTTTTGTAGGGTGCCTTAAAACAAAAAGTTTATTCAAATGTTCTTCCGCATGATGGGGAAATATTAAAACAACAACGCATAGAAGCAATTCATGATTTGGATGTGCCACGAACTGCATGTTACAACATTCCTAAGAACTCCCTCTCCTTTACGACTTCTTACGTTCATAGGAAACTCTCAAAAGTAGAAAATATATACTGCTATTATAGAAATTAGCTCGGATATTAACGTCGGGTCTTTTTTCATTCAAAAATTCATAGTTCTCGATGACAACTACCAAATGTAAACTATTGGTTGCTCTCTGCACAGGAGATGGGAAAATCGTCTTGTGTACACCGATTAAATACCCAATAAATGAATCTTCCCATGCTTTTGGATAGAATCGTATTTGTATTTTATGTTTCAGTTGTTGGCTAATGATGACCTTTTCTGTTGAAACGAGTTCGATCTTTTAATATAGTACTATTGTGGGATATTTGTGTTTTACTTTTTCAACACTATTGCTATTAAACGGGGAGGTTGG